TTGCCCATTTGTTGATGGGGTTGTTTGATTTTTTCTTATTGATTTTTTTGAGTTCTAGATAGATTCTGGATATCAGCCCTTTATCAGATTTGTAGAGAGCAAATATTTTCTCCCATTCTGTAGGCTGTCTACTTGCTCTAATTATAGTTTCCTTGGCCATGGAAAAGCTTTTTAATTTGATCAGATCCCATTTGTTTATTTTTGTCACTGGAGATTCCTCAAAGAGCTAAAAATAGAAATACCATTCAATCCAGCAATAGCACTATTGGGCATCTACCCCAAAGAACAAGAAACATTCTATGATAAAAACATCTTTACCCGAATGTTTATGGCAGCACAATTCACTATTGCAAGGATGTGGAAACAACTCAAGTGCCCGTCAATTCATGAATGGATTATTGAAATTTGGTATATGTATACAATGGAATATTACTCAATCATAAGAAATGACAGTGATCTAGCACCTGTTATACTTTCCTGGATTAAACTTAAGCCCATTATCCAAAGTGAGGAGGTACCACAAGATCATAAGGATGGTCTCCACTTGTACTCCCCATCAAATTGGTACTAACTGATCAACACTAGAGTGCTCACATGGCAGAAATACTCTCCAGGTATTAGGGGGTTGGGGGGGTAAACCCACAACTAAAGGACATGGGGAGCATTGTAGGGGGGAAGGGCATGCCCCTAACCCTTGCTTGGGTGAGGCTAAGACAAAGTGTAACCTTAATGTTTGTACCCTCATAATACCCTGAAATAAAAAAAAAATAAGGTAAAATTTCATATTTAAAGATTCGTTAGGCTAAGGTATGCAAACCCCACTTCCATTCTCCACAATGAATATGTTTCTTGCCATTGGCGAATGCAGCTCAATGAATGTTTGTTGCCTTGTTAGCATATGCCAACCCTAGTCGAAATGTGGATGAATAGATTAGTGTGAGTTACTGTCCCAAGGAGGCTACACTACAGTGAAGAGAACATATTCTTTTCCTAGTCACTCAGGTCACTCGTGATTCAGGCATGATATCCTGAAGGAGCCCCTCGGATGCAGATGTGTGCCTATCTAGAGAGTTGGGCTGGCTGTGCCCTAGGCTTGTGGCCCAGTCCCTCACTGTGTGTCAAAGCTCTGAGTAGGAATGTAACAGTCCCCACAGTGGCCATGAAAAGACCTTGTTTTGTACTTTTCCCTGTGCTTAACAAGCCCTTTTGAACCAGAGGAGAGCAAGCACATTACAAAACATGGGAAGACCTTTGCCTTGCACCAGTCCAGATTTCTCACGTGATCCTTTGCCCTCTTGGATCCTTGGTTTCTGCAGCTATCAAATGCGGGTTGTACCATTACCTTGACTTTTTCCCGAAACTGTGAGAGAGAACACAGGAAACAGAGTCAGAGAAAATGCTTGATTTCGGAAATACAGCATGGATCTTTTCATTCACATATTTATTGTGTTCATTCACGGCCTTTCCTAAAACTAAAGTAAGTTTACAAAACCAGCCCTGATTTTCTATTTCTATTGCTAAGAGACAAAGAGAAAGGAAATGTGCAAAGTGTAAGGTTAACAAACTACTGTGCTTAGGTGTCCAAGGAGGTTCTGATTTTTCTAGTTGGGGAAAAACAAAAAGTACAATAAGACCCAGAATAATGAATATAATACAAGAAAGAAGTTCCAGTTTTGTTATGTGTCTTAGTTGGCGCTGCATTCTAAAATGAATGTCTGTCATGGGCTTCTCATGGCATCAAAGCTAAGGAGGACACTTTTGTTAACGTAATTCCACAGCAGATTTCTAATGCAGTTTCCTGGATGAATTGTTTTTTTGATAAAAGCTAAAAATGGAACATGGAAGTGATCATTTTACATATTCAGTGAGGTTATTTGGAAGGGATATAAAAGTAATCTGCTGCATGTTTGTGATCAATCTTGACTGAAAGAGAAAATTTAGGATACATATATAAATTTTATTTTGAGGAATTATTAGTTTATTCTTTATACTGCAATCAAATCATGGAGATAAGTGATTTTCATTAATCTTTTAATGAATAAAATTACCATTGGGAAAAGATGAAGACTTTTAAAATCCATTAAAGTGAATTTTTGAATGTATTTGAACATCCAATCATGGCATACAAACATTTTTATTCTTAGGACTTACCCACAACCTATAGCTTAAATCCATTTTTTAGAGAACACAACAAAAGTTCTCACTGAGTGTTGAGTGCATAAAATTGCATACTAGAATTGTATTCATGTGGAAAAGAACACAGGTAATAGAAAAATAATAAACTAAAGAACCATTGAGACTCTGTTTTCTTTTGCTTTAAAAAACTTTGTGTTTGCATATGTGTTTCCTTTTTTCCTATAGTCATTGCAGATAAATTCAACTATTACCTCAGGATTTATTAAAAGAACTATCTTTCTATCCCCAGAAAGAATTGCACTGAGATGCTGGGCTCCTATAGTAAAACAGGCCATTTGCTAAAAATAATAAGACACTAGAAGAGATTTTCTTAGTATACAATGGTGGAATTATATTGTCTCTCTGTAAATCATTTTCTATCTTCCTATATAGATTATTTTTACACAGTACTTCCCACATATCCTTTTTCTTTTAGTCCCCCTGAACTATCCTTGGAACACTGGCTCTGCCGTTCACTGGTATGGCTCGTGGCAAGTTACCCACACTCTTTAAACCTCATTTCTCATTGGTAACATGGGGCCATCCACAATACAACTCACTGAAGTGAAGCATTCCACGTAGTGCCTGGCACAGTAATGAGCACTACAGCTTTTATTAATATTGCTGTCATTATGTCCAGAAACATGTGCACAAAGTGGGAATATTGGGGATGTGCATGATTTGGAAAGGTACGGCTGCTTTCCTCTGCTTAGACAAGAAATTTGCCTGACCCAGACTCCTTCAACTATGTAACATTCTGTTGTGAATTCTGGGATTTGAAAAATTCTTTTCGGTAGCAATACTTCACATTAGCAGTGCATGCCGAAGATTGTAAAGCTCTCATTGGTTCTTTATATTTTTATATTTTTCCTTTGAACAAGTGTTTATTGAAAAAGTACTTTGTGGCAAGCCCTGCGCTAAGAGCAGTGCATACAGTAGGAAAACCAGATGGTCTTGGATATTATACTACAGTTGTGTTAGAAAAGAAAAAAAAAGAATGTATGCTTCATGACTTCAACATCTTCACGTACAGGAACATAGTATATGAATACCAGCCACCGAATTATGTAGAATCAGACCAGTTGTTTCTGGAACTGTGGGGCTCATATTTTTAATGAATGTCCTCCTGTCTCTCTGTTGACAGATTTTACATATATTTATTTATATGCACATATATATACACATATACACATACACATCCTATCAAATAATGGACATGAACAATTGACCAGTACTTACTCTCCTTTCTTTTAGTTGTCACCACTGTTCCTTGTGTGAATGATGAAAGCGGTAAGTTTTTGTGTGTTTTTTTTTTTTCCTCCTGATCATCTTAACTTTTGAACTTC